AAATAGTATTACTTACGGACAAATGCAATCTTTCTTTTCTTTTCTTTTTTTCTTGGGTCATTAAGCCTCCATGACCCGGGGCTGATGTTAAGCTTTCTCTAATTACTCTGAGTTATGGCCGGTTATGCGTACAGACGTTAACATACATACAGACACAGACACACTAGAGTATGCATGACTTAATCAAACCTTTCTATATCTATCTATATCGTAAATTTTGCTCGCAATGAATATATATATTATATAGAAAATAGCCGGTTAGTCTTCATGATTTAGTGTTAACTTGAGGCTTTTGCCTCCAGCTCTGACGATGTTTGTCGCATGACGAACGAAAGCTCAATCCGTCTTCACCCGAAACGTTGGAGGATGTCCTGTGGACTGCATCAACCTGAACGCCGTATTAATGCCAAATGGCCGCAGCACAATGCGATTCATATGACGTCTTATGGTGAGATTGACGTACGAATTTCTTCATCATGTACTTCCATACTGAATAAAAATATTTTTTTATGTAAGCAGAGTTTCGAGACTATCATTAAATCAGTAATATGAGATGTATTCACCCTTTTTCGTTTACGGTGATGAAGGACTGGTAGTAGAATTTCCCCATAATGATATGAGTAGAGCTGACGTTTCCATTGCACTTTATAGAGCCTTGCTTTCCCGAAAGTTGTTCTCATCCAGGATGGACTGCAATTTCGACCTCGCGAATTTCTTATAAACACCCCAGCGGAAGTTAAACTGTGACAATGCAGAATGTGAACTTGACATGATAACCACTCGGCCACATTGCCACGAGTGCCCTTGGGTCACAGGGCAGATGTGAATTACAAGGAAGGCCAGGCCTTTTCCCATAACACATTCTTTGGTGGGATTGTCGATGAAGCAAACGTATATTTGCTATAACAATTGACTACGTTAATTATTTTTCGTATGTAAGTAGAGTTACGAGACTGCCAGTAAATTTGTCATATGAGATGTATTCACACTATTTAGTTTAAGGCCGAGTGGTTAACATGTCAAGCTCACATTTTACACTGTCACGGTTCGACTCCCGTTGGGGGTGTTGCTAAGACCTATGCGAGGGCGAAACTGCAGTCCACCTTGGATGAGAACAACTTTTGGGAAAGCAAGGCTATGTGAAATTCAATGGAAACGTCAGCTCTACTCATATCTTGTGGAGAAATTCTACTACCAGTCCTTCATACCCTTAAACGAAATAGGGTCAATACATCTCATATTATTGAATGAAAATTGTCACATTAATCTTATCTCAGTAGATTCTTTCAAACCCGCATTTTTTTCCTTATTCGAGTATTACTGATAGTGACGAAACCCTTTCATAGCTCAAATATCCATTCCTTTTCTAATGATGCGAATGTTGTATATTTTTGTGTGGTTCCATCCTGAAGGAAAAGGTTGGTACGAGATCAACAGTGAATTGTTGTTCTTCAGAGATGCCATCATATTCGAGTCAACGTTGAGTAAGAGGCTTTTAAATGGGAGAAACCTCAATCGTCCGTGCACAAGAAAGAAGCAGAGAGAACAGATATAGGTTCGGCCTTTTAGCCCAGACGCATATCCATCTTAGAAACTTATTTGAACACGTATAGTCTCGGACACTTGTAAGCCTACGTATACATGCATTGACTGCAAAGCCTATGGAACAGGAATTGGATGGCAAACACCACGTCCTCGATACTGTTTGAGTCGTAAAGCCGTCAAATTTGACGAGACAATAACTCATTTCGTGCGGCCACGAAGCCGAATGCACATCTCTGAGACCTTGTAATTGCCGCCTTTCTACACAAACACACACACACACACACGAGTCGATTGCACTACCATCTTGATGGGCTCCCTACATCCAAACAACTGCTGATAAACCAGTGCACATTTACCCACACTAGTCCGACAGAATAGCCGTCCGACATCAGGCGTAGAAACCAAATTTATTTCCATTCCTGACAGGTAGTCCAACTCATACAAGATAACTTCTTTCGTCAATAGGGCAAAAGAAAAATCCTTTGTTTGGTAGAGAAGACTGCAATAGAGAGATAATAAAAGAGCAGAATAAAAAGAGAAACAGTTGCGCATTGCTTTAAGCCTTAGGTTATGTTGGATGCTGGCCCGAAAGTGAAGAGATTGAATTTTATTGCCTATAGGGAAGAACTTGAGACAAACAGGAAAAAAAACGAATTAAGAGATAACGAAGGCAAAAATAGTAAATAAATTTGTAGACGATGCACAAGCAGGAGGTGCATGTGAATGAAGAGGACTTTCCTAAAACACATGCAGCTGTAGTAGAGACACTGTTTTGTCTGTAAAAAGCAACCTAGATGCCTTACCACATGAAGAACTTAGTAACCCTAGGTCGGTTAATGTGACTTAAAGACTTATATGGGAGATTTTACTAAAAGATCATTAATGGCTTTGAAGGCACGTCGGGCTCCTCACAATTTAGATTAAGTAGCGAAGCGGTAGTGAATCGCCGTGATGCGCACGATTTGGTTCTGAATCTCCTTGGGCGCGCTGACGAGGTTTTGGAGTGATCAAATCATCAGTGAACTTCATGAATAAGGAAAACATCTGCGAGACAAGGCTAAATGAAACTCTCTGCAATCCTAAGGCTAACTAATATTTTTGGATATTAGCTGTGCACACTCTATTTTGCTTAGGGTGATGAAGGAGTGGTAGTTGAATCTTACCATTCGCAGCACCAAGCTACAACTCGTCAAAGGCACAAGTAAAGTCAATCCCTTAAGTTTTGATTTTATAAGTAGATTATCCACAGTGCCAGTATGAAATGTATTCGTTCTATTTCGTTCGTTTTATCCCATAATGCTATGAGTAGATCTTACATTTCCATTGAATTTCAGGTAGGCTTGCTTTCTCAAAAGGTATTCTCATCCGGGCAGGAGTGGACTGCAGTTTCGACCTCGCATAGACCATATCAACCCTAGCGGGACTCGAAAAGTGGCAATGCTGCGGATAAGCTAGACACGTTAACCACTAAACCACATTGCCACGATCACTTTGGGGTCACGGGGCATAAGTAAGTTTCCAGGAGTTCCAGGTATTTTTCCATATCACATTCTGTGATCGGATTGTCGATAAAGCAAAAATGTATTTTTTATAGCAATCAATTACAATAGATAGTTTTCGTTTTTAATTAGGACATACAAATATATATATGATATATAAGTAGACTCGAAAGCCGACTAATAAGCGAAAAATAAGTAAATTAGGCGATTGCTATAGCAAATATAATTTTGTTTCATCGACAATCACATCAAAAAATGTGAAGGGAAATATGCCCGGTTTTGCTAGAAATTCACAAATATCCAGAGATCGAAGGGGACACTTGGTAATGTGGTGTATTGGTTAACATGTCGAGATTACATGTTGCATCTTCATGGTTCGAGTCCCACTAAGGGTATTGATAAGGGTTATGCGAAATCGAAACTGCAGTCCACCTCTTTATGAATGAAAATACCTTTGGTGAAATTCAACGAAGTGTAAGATATGCTCATATCTTATGGGATAAATACAACTACTAGTCTTCTTATCATCTGATAGCATTCGCACCCTATTATAACTTATGTCTTGTTTATATTCCACTCATCGACTGGTGGGGAACACTCGGTACATATATATATATATATAGAGAGAGAGAGAGAGATCTCCTCCCTCATATTGGATGAAAGCAGAGTGAGCTTTCGTCCATCATCCGAACTGGAACACATTCTTGTAAAAGTCCCACGTTAGAACTAGTAAGATATTGAATGAGTATAAACTCAAAGCTAGGTAATTTTTTAGGTAGATTGCTCATTATTCTATGTTTATATCAATATATCAATAAAGTGCAGACACAATACTTTATATCACTAGCCATTACGGTAAAAAGTGAAAAACTCTGTAACTGCCCTGAAGGAAAGAAACTCACTGAAATGACTGCATTTAAGCAAACTAATAGCGATAGTAAAAGGCTTGAATTCTGTTTAAAAGAAACAAATT